CCAGTGGGGGAAGGCTGTACCGGGGGAGCAGGAGGGGGAGCGGAAGTCAAGAAGAGAGGGGGAGGAGGAACCAGGAGACCTCGGCAAGGGTACCTGACATAGTAGGGGACGGACTCGTCGAAACTGACGTCACGGGAGTCAAAGAACCGGTGAAGGGGAGGGTGGTAAAAGGTGAAGTCAAGGAACGGCGCGAGGCAAGATCTTGTCCGCGGAGGTGTCGCGAACAAGAGCCAAGCAACCCCAGACACGAAACCGCGACGCAACACCAGGGGACCCGGTCCAAAGACTAGTCGGTGAAACCTCTGGCCAAGAGACACGTGGCCAGAGGTTCAGCTGGTGAGCGACGTACCTAACCGCGTAGGGCCACAGAAAATGGGGGGCATGGACGTGAGTCAAGGAGGTGCGGGCGATCTCTATGACCAAGCCTGTGCGCCGCTCAGCAATCCCGTTCTGCTGTCGGGACTCTGGAAGCGTCCAGGACTGACGAATGCCCTTCTCGCGACAGAATCCAGCGAGAATGCCGGAGCAAAACTCACCCCCACAGTCGGAGTGAAGACAGCTGACTCGACGACCACGACTGCCCTCAGTGGTAAGCAACCACCTGATCAGCGTAGAAGTCACCTCAGACTTCTTCGCAAGGGGGAAACTGTGGTGTAGCGGGAGTAGTCGTCAACGACCACCAGAAAGAAAGGCTCACGCTCAGGGCCAAGGCGAGAGGTGGGGCCCCAGACATCCAAGTGGAGCGTCTCAAAAGGCTCGGTGGTCGGACGAAGGGAGGAGGAGTGAGGGGTGACGCACAGCCTACCCTCGACGCAGGGACCGCACGGTGGTGCAAGCGAAGGCGGCAGCGACGGCAAGACACGTGGGGGGCCTAAGACAAGACGCTGACGAGACATAGTGCGCAGACGAGGGAGAGACGGGTGCCCCATTCGGTGGTGCCACAGAACGGTGGGGTGGGCAAGTGACCGGCAAGAGCACGACGCAGCAACTGGACAAGACACGGGAACCTGACCAGACACAGCTACTTGGGGGGGCGCAGCAACCTGGTGAGACGCAGGGACCAGACTGGGGGAGGGAACAGGGGCCGGGGGCAGTAGTCGCTGCTGCGGCTACTGCTGCTGCTGCCCACCAGAGGTAGTGTGAAGTGTGTAGAGACCAGAGCCTGGCTCAGCTGTAAAGGTGGCAAGGGGCGTGTAAGTGTCTCCGTCAACACAAACCACCGTCTCACCAGAGGGCTCAATCCACACACCCATGTGCTGACTCACAAGAGGCCTCACGCCCACCAAGTTCCACGAGAACGAGGGGATGTGGAAGCCAATCAGAGACCCAGAGGGAACAGCAGGGCACGGAAGAGTAGTAGTGTAGCGAGCAGTGACTGGTCCCGAGGTGGGATCAGCCAGAGCCACAGAGACCGGCGCCAGAAGCGGAGTAAGTGTCGTGTGGTCCCGGAAGAAGCACTGCGAAGCCCCAGAGTCCAAAGTGAAAGACAGCGAAGCGTCCTCCGAAGTAGCTCCTGGATTAGTGTCTACATAAGTGCCTACACTAGCAACAGTCAACTCAGCAGGACTAGCACCTAAGCTAACAACACTCGAGTAAACAGAGTCAGAAGCACTAGAGTCAACAATAGCATACATTGCATGAAGAGTTCCTAAGAGATCAACCAACTGATAAGCTGACATGCCCCAAAGAGGGGAGCCGTACGTCTGAACAAGAGGAAACCAGTCAGGGGCAAGGCCACCAACGCCGAAGGCCAAGCGAACTGTGTCAGTGAGCTGAGCAAAGCACAGATCAGGAGGGTGGGTGCGGCCACAAGGCTGGCCTCGGCGAGCACCTGTCAAAAGCTGATAGGTGCACGAAGGGTGAACAACACCTCACTGAGGCTGACGCTGTCCTGGCCCCAAAACCTGCTGCTACCGCTGCTGGTGCAAGGGGAGGGGCTGCTGCTGCTGCTGCCGCTGGGCCAGGTACCACGCCGCTGCTCCACCCGCCGCGGCCGGCAGACCAGAAGGTGGCTGACGAGCCCAGGCGTCGCCTCCACCAGCTGCAGTGGCGGAGTCACCGGCCGCTGCACGAGACGCCTCTCCTGGCCCTGCACTCCCACCGCCACCAGTCGGCACGCCACCCCTACCACCTCCGCCGCCAACGCCTCCACCGCCGCCGCCACCTGTACCCTGACCGCCCCTCTTGCCACCTCTACCTCGAGACCGAGAAGATGTCGTAACAGCAGCTGCGGTCACGTCAGTAGCAGCAGTGGCGAGAGAGGATGTAAAGGTGGGCAGCTGAGGGACAGTGCACCCGTGGAACAGTGGAGGGGGCACAGCACCAGAGGCGGAGGCTACGGAGCGGAGGTTTCTCTCGACGTCCTTGAGCGCAGACTCAAGGACCTCGATAGTGAGCTCACTAGGGTGCTTCAGAAGAAGCATGTCACGGACTGAGGCAAGGCGGTTAGGGAGGCTAGTGGCAATGAAATAGATAGTAATCGCCATGGGGGGAGGGAGCAGTGCAAGCTGTGCCTTAGTGCAAGCAGCGCGGTAGCTAGAATCAAGTGAGCGGAGGTGAGCAATCAAGTCAGCAGGGCGCTCAAACGAGGCAAGGTCGGGGAACAGGAACGGTAGGAAGAGTCGACCAAGAGAGACAGTGGTGGGAGTAGCGTAGCGGGCCTTAATCGCAATCAGGAACTCACTAGCAGTGCGAACCTGAGTGAAGTGGGCCTCCTCAGACTCAGGGAGGAGGCTGCTAAGAGCGATGCAGGCTGTAGCGTCATGCGACTTCCATGTCGTCAGGTCAGCACGCTGGCGGGTGAAGCAGTCCCTGGCTGCGTCGTCAGGGGCAGTGCCTAAAGGCGTAGGGTCGTCGGGCGCTGGAAGGTCACCAGTAGCGTGCGCCCAAAGGGACTCGCCTGCCTGAACCTGACTCTCTAAGAGGCGACGCGTGCGTAGGAGTCAGACCGGAAACTCGAGCGGTCTACCATCAGCGTCGAAGCGAAGAACCCTAGGGGTCGCCATAGTGGAAGTAGAAGCGACAAGTCGGGCGGTGGGTGGCACTGGTAGGGACGGTAGGCGGCTAGGGCAAGACGCGGGCGAAAAACGCGGGCGCAACGAGGCTAGGGGCGGTCCCGCAGCGGACTGAACGAGTAGGCGCAGCGGTGCGAACGAGGGCCTACGGCGGTTGTAAGGGAGGGCCCGCGGCGGGCCTTTACTAGCAGGCGTGGCGTCTGGAAAGCAGGGCCCGCGGCGGCTGTAAGGGAGGGCTTGCGGCGGGCCTTAACTAGCAGGCGCGGCGGCTGGAAGGCAGGGCCCGCGGCGGCTGTAAGGGAGGGCCCACGGCGGGCCTAACTAGCAGGCGCGGCGGCTGTAAGGGAGGGCCTGCGGCGGCTGTAAGGGAGGGCCTGCGGCGGGGCTAACTAGCAGGCGCGGCGACGGGAGGAGCGGGCCCACGGCCGGGCAATCGAGCAGGCGCGGCGGCGGGTGGTATGGGCAGGCGCGGCGGCGAAATGCAGGGCGCCGCTGCGACAAAATGCGGGGCGCCGCGGCGACGAGACGCGGGGCGCCGCGGCGACGAAACGCGGGGCACCGCGGCGACGAAATACGGGGCGCCGCGGTGACGACGAGCGGGCGTTTAGGGCAGCGGGGGGAGGACGCGACACGACGCGCAGGGTGGGAGGGCACGTCGCGACGAGCAGCGGGGGAGGGTGTGACGGGACGGGAAGCCGGGGAGAGCGCGACGCGACGGGCAAGGGGGGGGGGGGGGGGGGGAGAGAGAGTTGCTACGCTACGCTGAAAGCGGGTCGGCGGAGCGAGCGCTAACGAACGAGCGAGACTGGATCGGGCCGGCGCTAACGAACGAGCGAGACTGGATCAGGCCGGCGCTAACGAACGAGCGAGACTGGATCGGGCCGGTGCTAGGCTTGGGCAAGACGGATACGACTAGTACGACAGAACGAGACAGGCTCGGGCGGAACGAACGAGGACGAGAGGTGCGGGATCCCACAGGATCCTGACCTATGTGATACCATGTTAAGAATGAAAGTGTTGTGTTATTGATGAGGGTTGGGGTACATATAGCAAACCCTAACATTTGTACCCCCTAAGACAAACCTCACTACAAGCTACAACATTTGACAGACCGCTACGTGTACAGCCCGATTTTCGGACTTTACACGTTCGACCAACATCAACGATGCTGAGGCTCCTCGCGTCGCCTTCGTCCTTTTCGGTCGCCAAACCTGCACCCAACCTCGATCCCCGAGGTTTCCTCCTAGCTAGGGTAGCCACTATATTAGCACATGCCTTCATTGTACCTATTGCTAGTTCGTTCAATCATAGTCTCGTTATTCGTTTATCTGCGCACTCTCTTTTACAACTCATAACACCCAAACTAATTACTGTACACACCCCTCGCTCACCCCACTCCTCCCACCATGCCCACCCTTCCACCACCCACACTGAACACATTTCTTTCTACAACCTCGGGAATGTCTTCCATTCAAACCACGCTGCCTTGGGAATGTCGATGCCTGAGAGTTGTGTCTCCTGTCTGGGTAGCCCATCTCAAAAATCCCTATTGAGTTTACATAGCTTTTACATACTCGAACCATACTTGCTAGTATGGTTTTAGGTGGTTTGATTAGGGCTACTAAAACGTAGAAATTGGCGTATGTTTTTTGTAGGCTTCAAATGTCTACGAATTAGTAATGCTCAAACAGTAAATGTTTGTTTTCCATTTGTATGTGTCTCATTATATTTCAGTGGCCTAAACACTAATCATTTGCCTTTCTTTTGTTGACAAAACCTTATAGAATCATTTTTCAAATGTAGGACAACTAGCATGATGTTTGTATGGATTTGAATCATACTGAATGCTCATTGACTATGATTCAATTAGATGCCTGATGATTCATGAATTAGAATCCAGCATTGATAATTAATAGAATTCCAGTACAATCACAACAATTAATCCACCATCCGACTTCCAGTATCCTTTCTCACACATATTTAACACTACACACTGTCTTCGGCATCCTCCCACTCACCCACGTCATCAAGGACGTCGCGCTCCATAGTGGCAGCACTTTCGTTGGAGCACGTCTTCTTCTTTTTCCCCTTTTGCACTTCCAGCTGGGAGAACTCATAGAGGCGTTTGACAGCGGCCTTTTCCTTGCCATCGGGGTCAGCTCCAACTGGGGTGAGGTCCGAGAACCCACTCCCCGAGATGACCACGGTCTCAGTGGGCCCAAACACCCATCCCTGGTGCTGCTCGGACCAGGCGGGGAGCTCGTTGTTGGGGGCATGCTCAAGAGTGTGGCGGATTGCCGCCTTCACCTTGCGGTGGTAGCGGGCAATGTCGTCCGCATTCACACAGGCATCTGTGGGAATGCGCTTTCCGCGTGCCTTATGATGCACCACGGAATACTCCACCTGCCAACATGTGGAGAATGCAAATGATAAGGCTTAAAATTATTGGTGAAGAAAATTCAGCAAGATGCAAGCTTCGTCTTATAGCAGCCAATGCAATGGTACTAGCTATTCGACACATCATGCTATGCATACCAGGTAGAGGGTGTAGGCGATGTGGTACGCCTTCACCACCGTCACCGCCCCACCAGCACCCTTCTGGAACGCGTTGCGAATGATGAGATCGAACAGTGCGGTAGCGAAAGGGCGGTTCAGCTCCTCCGAGAAGTGCCAACGAAGAAGGCCACCCCTTACTGCGAATGTGAAGGGGACAATATGGAAGGGTTTATGAGAGTCAGTGGTGTTCTGGCGTAAATCACAGCAGAACAATGCATAAGATCAGCTGCTGAAGGTATAACCTGAGAGAGTTTGGGAGAGAGAAGCAGGGATGGGGGGGACAACGAAAGCACGGAGAAGAGAAGAAAAGGGGGGAGAGGGGCTGAGCGTTGAGACTTGCCACGGATACTTGCACCTCGTGTCACGCGTGGGGTCCTGCGGGCTGACTCTGACTTGGCAAAGGGAAGCAAGCAGGTAGAGTGAAGCAGAGAGATATGGTAATGTCAAAAACACTGACCACATGTCCCACGAAAAGCCTAGAAGTAGCTGAAAGAGATCGGGAGAGAGAAGCATGGATGGAGGGGACAACGAAAGCGGGGAGAAGATTGGGGACAGTGGCTGAAAGTTAAAGACGTTCCATGAGAACTAGCACCACGTGTCACACGTGAGGTCCAGCGAGCTGACTTTGACTTGGGCAAGGGGAGCAAGCAGGTTTAGTGAATCGGAGAGACATGGCCAAAATTTCAAACACACTGACCACATGTCCCACGAAATGCCTAGGATCAGGACTTTACTCAGGCCTGAAGTAGTGAGGGAAAAGGGAGAGGTGGATGGAAGCGTTAAGGGAAGAATGTGGTAACTGAACGTGGGCAGCAAATGCACGAGAGTTGTGCATTAGCGGTCAAGCTGGTGCACAGAAGAAGACAGGAAGAGCAGGACGAAGAGAGGTAAAGGGATGCAACATTCTTATACACAACAGCGACGGCGAGGTACACAAGCGACTGCGAGACTTAGGAGAAAGCAACCTCAGGAAAGAAGTGTGCCACGACTCACCAAGTGGCGTAACACCTTCCAGGTTGTACACCTGGGTGGGGGTGCGCTCTTCCTCGCACACAAGTTCACTGTAATCAAACTTGAGGCGAGGATTCGCCTCACAAACGAGGCCGAAAGCATCCGCGAACATGCGACGCGCGGCCATGGAGATTTTTGCACGCCAATCGTTGCCCTTGCGCTTTGCAGACCCGGCACGAGCGACGCAGTACATCATCACTGCTCGAATGGCAGGACCCTTACTCGTGCCCCACACTCCAATAAGGCACTCCAGAACGAGACCATCGGATGGGTACATGCTGCTGACGTCGTCAGGCTGGCGAAACAGCGTCACCTGAATTGCGAGCTCCATTTTCTTCTGCGGTGGTGGGGCAGAGTAGGAAAAGAGATGTAAGTCAAAATGGGCAGAGCATCTTGGATGCACGCTAGTTGGACGAGAAGAATTTTTTGCATGACAGGAGTAGGGAGAGAGAACGTGGAAGGGCAGGGTGGGAAGGGGCGGGGTGGGGTGGGAAGGGGCGGGTTGGGGTGGGAACGTAAAAGGGCGGGGTCCAAATGCACCACTCTCCCACACCAACACCCGACCCCAACACACTCCCCATCATTCTCCATCTCAAAACACCAAGTCCCCCTGGTTCATTGCATGGCTCACACTACTTACATTCCATGCCTTGCCATAAGCAGGGAGCTGACGCATCAGAAGCTGGTCCTTCAGGGGGATGCCGCTAAGGGAAGTGTGCAGTACGACGTCGCATACGCCCGGATCCGCGAAAGTCGGGTAATCCCGCTTGCGCTTCTGACCATCACTGCGCGCTGCTGCCGGTTGATTCGCCGGCGTGCGTTCGACCACCTCGCGTTCGGATGGGGCGCCACGCCTTGTTTCGCCCTTTTCCACCGTGGAGCCACGCTCATTGCCAATCTGGCGCAAGAGCGAAGAAATCAGCACCGACTGCTGCTGCGTGGTGCGCTCCAAATCTGCCACACGATCTTCCGCACTCGAGGCACCAGGCTCCTTCGGCGCCGCCCGATGAACACCGTCCAGCGGGCTCTCCACCTGACGGGCTTTTGCAGCAGCGTCCTGACCACGGTTGGTAACGTTATTGAGCGTGTCCTGGCGGCCTTCGCCTGAATCAAAGGTAAACGCACCATCGTCATTAGTAGCAGATTCTTACATCATCACACAACAGAAAAAACAGAGGCAAAACATTAATCCAAAACTGGTATGGAAACTAACACGAACATCATACCTGCCGCATCTGGACGCTGGTTTCCATTGTTGTGGTTGCCCCTAAGAAGTTCTTCCTCGTCCTCATGATCGCTGAAGTCGTCCGCGTTGATCTGAACCCCAAGAGGAGCTGCTTCCCCATCGTGGCCACCGCGGTTGCTAGGAGCAGCAGGCTCGCACTCGCCATCGCTGTTGCTTTCCTCCTCATGCACGGGCTCGCCAGGGAGAGCAGGCAACTTTTCGTTGCCTTCGGGATCGTCAGCAGGTCGCTTGCCCTTGTCGAGCGCCAACTTCTTAAGTTTGTTGCTGGCGAGCTTGCGACCACTCGAGTTAACAGCGCCACGCAAACGATTCCCAAGACCTCCAGCGCCCTGCATCTTGGCCGTCAGCTTGATAGGTCGCTTGCCACCCTGCTCATTTCGCACAGAAGCAATGGAAGCCATGGAAACGGACCGTGCAGGGCGATGAAACCGAGGCTGGAAGGATAGTAAACGAGTCACGAAAGTTTATGATACTACAATGGACAATGAGAGATCTTAAATACCTAAGACTATGACTTACGTTCTAAACGTTTAAGAAAAGTTCGTTGTTTCAGGTGTCTGTGCAAGAAGGGCAGGTGCTCCTGCCATAAGTGCAGGTGAAATGTGTTGTGGCGCAGGTACGTGGTGCATAGCTCTAAGCGCTTCCGCCTTCTGCTGGTCGCACAGCTATCTGTTGACGACGTTGGGGTTTCATAGCTATGGAGCCTCATACTTGCTGCTGGAAAGTCTATGTATGTTCTCAGCGGGAAAACGGCTGGCTGTTGGCGCCAAATGGCCATTGATCTCCTGGCGCCTATCCTTACGGAGAGCAACGAGCGTAGTAATTACGGGATGACTGCTCTCCGTGGTCCTCTTTGGCTGGAAGGCGAGGACTTGACTTTGGAGTTTGAAAGTTTGAACACAACACGAAATCTGAACCGTTTAGTTGCTCATCTAGCGGTTGACGACATTGGAGTCTCATAACCATGAGGACTCAAGCTCGTTGATGCATCTAGGATGACTCTTAATGGTGTGAGAGAAAAAAAACGCCTGGCTGTTGGCGCCAAATGGCGAATAATCTCCTGGCGCCCTTGGGTACTTCGAGAGCTACGAGAAGAGGAAATGACGGGAGGACTGGTGTTCGTGTTCCTCTCTCTGGCTGGAAAACAGCAGCAGCGAGGTTTGAAATTTTGAAGTTTGAACAATCGAATGGAGAAGACGAAATCTGAGCCACACGATCAGTCGTGACCAAGCAATCCTAGCTGCTAGCGAAGAATAGGTTAACAGTAACAGTACAACTAGGGGTGAGTGCACGATGCTCCATCACGGAAAATCATGCTGCTGTGCTAAATCTCAACCGTAGATCGAAATTCCTGTCCTCAGGGCGTGACCCAAAATTGATTCAATTTCGAATGTAGCTAGGTTTAGCACTATGATAATGGGTTCAGTGTGACAGCATTTCGAAACAAAAATGCTACAGCTCAGTACCGATCTATAAACTGTCACACCTAGCCAAAATTCAAATCGAATTGGCTTCACAATTTTGTAGTAACGCGCCCTAACCCATATCGCTTTTGCCGCAAAGACATGACAAGGTAGGCAACAGGTTACTGTTTACGAAATGTGTGGACCACTGGGGAAAGGCACTGCCATGTCTTTTAGCGACAATGAATCTGGACACCAATAAAAACATCCACTGCAAAAAAACGACAAGGGGGTCCACCGATTGAGAACGTTCTCTCTTGTTCCCTCAATGTTGAGCACACCTGGTCTGTATTCGGTAACACAAAAGCCATTGTGGTAGCAATGTTCAGTACTTAGTTGTCCGTAATAAATATATATTTAAAATTTATTGCCTACAAACAGACATGGCCGTATTGGAACATACATTCCTTCCATCCGATTAATTTCTTAAGATGCCATGTAGACACAGACAGTCTAACACAATTGAGGGCACCAAACTGAACCAATTATATGTTCTTGTTGTTCTATTCTTCCTTGTTTTCCATCACATCCATCTCCCCGTCGGCGATGCTGTCGTTGTTGTTGTCATCGTCGTCTACAACGTTCAAGTCGTTGCTATCGTCGTCGATGAGTTGCTGCTGCTTTTGCTGCTGTTGTTTTTGATGTTGTTGTTTTAGTTGCAGTTCCCATTGTTGTTGTTGCTGTTGTAGCTGTTGCTCTTGCAGCTGTTGCAGCTGTTGTTGTTGTTGTTGCTGCTGTTGGAATAACCGAAATGTTATCATAAACATTCCCGAAGGCTCTTCACTCCCGCGTCACTCCATAACGAAGTGCACGCCTGTACCAGTACCGCAATAGCTCATACAGAGCACCCGGAAGGTCGAGGGTCACCCGAAGGTCAACAGTCGAAGACAGTCAACGGTCGTGACCCTTGACTGCCCGGTAACTGCACGAGGCAGTTGCGAAGTGCAACATGGTAACTATCTAAGAATGACAATAGTCGTGGGTTACTGTAGCAATGCAATTCAGTTAATAAGGGAAAGTACTCCGCAGAGTACATGGCTTGCTTGGAATGCAATTTATATCGTTGTACTTTTATCTTATAATCATCTTGTTCTTTTTCAATTCCTTATCAACAAGGTCACCACAGAGACTTCATTGTCTCCTCTCAGACTCAGCAGATCTTATCCTGTCTACTTGATCATTTGGTTACATCAGCAGTTGCTGCTGCTGCTACTGCTGGTGCTGCTGCTGCTGCTGTTGCTACTGCTGCTGCTGCTGTTGCTGCTGCTGCTGTTGCTACTGCTGCTGCTGCTGCTGCTATTACTGTTGCTGCTGCTGGTGGTGCTGTTGGTGCTGCTGCTGTTGGTGTTGTCGCTGTTGCTGTGGCTGTTGCTGTCGTCGTCGCGTTGCTGGCGTCGCTGTCGTCTCTGTCGTCATTGCGACGCTGGCGTATCTGTCGTCGCTGCTGCCGCTGCTACTTTTGCTGCTATTGGTGTGGTTGTTGCTGTTGTTGTTGTCGTTGCTGTGTTTAGTGTTGTCGTTGTTTGTCGTCATCGTCGTCGTTTCCGCCACCGCCGTCGTCGTCATCGTCGTCGTGGTTGTTGCTGTTGCTGCTCTTGCTTCTGTTGCTCCTGTGGCTGCTTCTACTGCTAGTGATGCTGGTGCTGCTGCTGGTGCTACTGCCGCTGCTGCTATCGTCGCTGTTGTCGCTCCTGTTGTCGTTGTTATTGTCTGCGTTGTTGTGTGTGTTGTTGTCGTTGTTGGGATCGTTGTTGGGATCGTTGTTGTTGTCGTTGTTGTTTTAGTTGTGGTTGTGGGTGTTGTTGTCGTTGTGGTTGTTGTCGTTGTTGTTTCGAGCGTTGTAGTGTGTGTTGTTGTCGTTCTTGGGATTGTTGTTGTTGTCATTGTTGTCATCGTATTTGTCGCCGTCGTCGTCGTCGTTCTTCTTCTTCTGCTGCTGTTGTTGTTGTCGTCGATGTTATGGTGCTTTGTTGAGAAGGAGGATTTGTGAGTCGATTTATATTGTTAATTTCATGTGTTAATAAGCAATAACACTACGCACACCCAAACTTACCACAACCTTAGAGATTTTTGAGATTACATATCCCTTTAAAAAATGCAGACACAACTTTAACGAACCAAACAAATTGTTACAAATGGTGCAAGTTTGACAGTTCGAGATTCAAAACTTCGAAGTTGATGAGTGAGAGTGGATTTAAAGTATGCGCATCGCTCCCATAATCTCCCTGCACCACTGCGACTTAGCCTAGTACTTCTCGCTCGCCATCCCCTCGTGCTCTCACGATCCCCCGTGTAGGCCGTGTCCCTGGATGACGACTCTTACTATAAATCGCCAGCAATTTCAGTCACTCTTTTGTGTTCGTCCAGAATCCAGTGATGGCATCTACTCCTCTCACGCGGGTAGTGCTGATGCTGAGCCTCATCATATGCTCATGGTGCTCTGTGTTTTTCGCCACTCAAAGAGCTCTGAGCATTCATCAAGCCAACAATGTCGAGTGTAGATTTCATCGCGCTCGTCTTCGAGAGGAGGGATACGTTAACGGACCGTATAGGGCTAGCCTGAATGGGGAGATCTCTAAGGCGCCGCCCCCTCCAGACCACGGCAGAAAGCGTAGGCGAATTGGCGGGGAAGAGAATGCAGCAGTCCCGGCCACTGAGGGCGACACTAACACATCCGCTCCGACGATTCCGTTAGATCCGCCACCTTCGAGCTTCACGCTGCCAGAGAACACACACGATGAGATTGAAAATGAGATCCCGAAGTCATATTTCGACACGCGGAAGGAGATTTTGCTGTTTATGCAAAGCTTCAGAGAAGGGCAAGGAATGACTGTCGAGGAGAGCAAGAGGTTTCTGAAATTGATAAGCCACCCAGAGTTCAAATGTGAAGATATTTCAGAGTGGAGGAGCATCAAGGATGCTCAGAAGTGGGCAGCAGAGAAGTGGGGTGGAAATGCTCCGTTATGGAAAACCACAATGGTGGAAGTACCTGGAGTTTTGGAGAACGGTCGTCCGGTCTTCGTGCCTCTCAAGCATACCGACTCTCTCAAGGTGGTGGTCTTGAGATATTGCATTATATTCTCCCCTGTTTCCGAAGTGCACCATGTGCTAACGTCCTCCCCCTTATTTTCCAACCGAATCCCGCAGGTGGTGCAAGCACTATTCGAGGACAGAAACAACCAGAAAGGATTTGCGCTGTACCCAAGCATAAAGAAACGAGGAGACCGTAGAATCTACACTCGGCCACAGCACTGCAACTGGTGGATAAATGCTCAGGTGCGAGCAACACGAATGAATGCGTGAGGTGTAGATACGCGCGAGACACGTTGGGGATCTGCGAGTGAATTGTGGAAAGGCACAAGCGACCGGTTGGATGCGAGATAGGTGCGAAATGCCGCGGTGGGTGGGGGAATGAATCTGAGTTACGCGCGTCATTGCAACCGCGACAGGTGAGTGTGTGATTCGGAATGGCCTAGGTGGCTGAATAATGAGGGTATGGCGCGGAATGGCATCAACGAGTGCAGGGAATGATGGTATGGCGCGGAATGGCATCAACGAGTGCAGGGAATGATAGTATGGCGCGGAATGGCATCAACGACTGAGTGACCGTGAGCGAGTTGAGTCTACAGCACATGTGAGGGGAAGGAACTGCATTGTGAGGGTTGTTGAAATCAATGTGAGCCACGTGTTGGCACATGAGAAGGTGCCCATCCGCCCATGGGCTGTGGGTTGGCTCATGAGAAGGTGCCCATCCGCCCATGGGCTGTGGGTTGGCTCATGAGAAGGCGCCCATCCGCCCATGGGCTGTGGGTTGGCTCATGAGAAGGTGCCCATCCGCCCATGGGCTGTGGGTTGGCTCATGAGAAGGCGCCCATCCGCCCATGGGCTGTGGGTTGGCTCATGAGAAGGTGCCCATCCGCCCATGGGCTGTGGGTTGGCTCATGAGAAGGTGCCCATCCGCCCATGGGCTGTGGGTTGGCTCATGAGAAGGCGCCCATCCGCCCATGGGCTGTGGGTTGGCACATGAGAAGGCGCCCATCCGCCCATGGGCTGTGGGTTGGCTCATGAGAAGGCGCCCATCCGCCCATGGGCTGTGGGTTGGCTCATGAGAAGGCGCCCATCCGCCCATGGGCTGTGGGTTGGCTCATGAGAAGGCGCCCATCCGCCCATGGGCTGTGGGTTGGCTCATGAGAAGGCGCCCATCCGCCCATGGGCTGTGGGTTGCCACATGAGAAGGTGCCCATCCGCCCATGGGCTGTGGGTTGGCTCATGAGAAGGCGCCCATCCGCCCATGGGCTGTGGGTTGGCTCATGAGAAGGTGCCCATCCGCCCATGGGCTGTGGGTTGGCTCATGAGAAGGCGCCCATCCGCCCATGGGCTGTGGGTTGGCTCATGAGAAGGTGCCCATCCGCCCATGGGCTGTGGGTTGGCTCATGAGAAGGCGCCCATCCGCCCATGGGCTGTGGGTTGGCTCATGACAAGGTGCCCATCCGCCCATGGGCTGTGGGTTGGCTCATGAGAAGGCGCCCATCCGCCCATGGGCTGTGGGTTGGCTCATGAGAAGGCGCCCATCCGCCCATGGGCTGTGGATTGGCACATGAGAAGGCGCCCATCCGCCCATGGGCTGTGGGTTGCCACATGAGAAGGCGCCCATCCGCCCATGGGCTGTGGGTTGGCTCATGAGAAGGTGCCCATCCGCCCATGGGCTGTGGGTTGGCTCATGAGAAGGCGCCCATCCGCCCATGGGCTGTGGGTTGGCACATGAGAAGGCGCCCATCCGCCCATGGGCTGTGGGTTGCCACATGAGAAGGCGCCCATCCGCCCATGGGCTGTGGGTTGGCTCATGAGAAGGTGCCCATCCGCCCATGGGCTGTGGGTTGGCTCATGAGAAGGTGCCCATCCGCCCATGGGCTGTGGGTTGGCTCATGAGAAGGCGCCCATCCGCCCATGGGCTGTGGGTTGGCACATGAGAAGGCGCCCATCCGCCCATGGGCTGTGGGTTGCCACATGAGAAGGCGCCCATCCGCCCATGGGCTGTGGGTTGGCTCATGAGAAGGTGCCCATCCGCCCATGGGCTGTGGGTTGGCTCATGAGAAGGTGCCCATCCGCCCATGGGCTGTGGGTTGGCTCATGAGAAGGTGCCCATCCGCCCATGGGCTGTGGGTTGGCTCATGAGAAGGCGCCCATCCGCCCATGGGCTGTGGGTTGGCACATGAGAAGGCGCCCATCCGCCCATGGGCTGTGGGTTGCCACATGAGAAGGCGCCCATCCGCCCATGGGCTGTGGGTTGGCTCATGAGAAGGTGCCCATCCGCCCATGGGCTGTGGGTTGGCTCATGAGAAGGTGCCCATCCGCCCATGGGCTGTGGGTTGGCTCATGAGAAGGTGCCCATCCGCCCATGGGCTGTGGGTTGGCTCATGAGAAGGCGCCCATCCGCCCATGGGCTGTGGGTTGGCTCATGAGAAGGCGCCCATCCGCCCATGGGCTGTGGGCTGGCTCATGAGAAGGTGCCCATCCGCCCATGGGCTGTGGGTTGGCTCATGAGAAGGTGCCCATCCGCCCATGGGCTGTGGGCTGGCTCATGAGAAGGTGCCCATCCGCCCATGGGCTGTGGGTTGGCTCATGAGAAGGTGCCCATCCGCCCATGGGCTGTGGGTTGGCTCATGAGAAGGCGCCCATCCGCCCATGGGCTGTGGGTTGGCACATGAGAAGGCGCCCATCCGCCCATGGGCTGTGGGTTGCCACATGAGAAGGCGCCCATCCGCCCATGGGCTGTGGGTTGGCTCATGAGAAGGTGCCCATCCGCCCATGGGCTGTGGGTTGGCTCATGAGAAGGTGCCCATCCGCCCATGGGCTGTGGGTTGGCTCATGAGAAGGCGCCCATCCGCCCATGGGCTGTGGGTTGGCACATGAGAAGGCGCCCATCCGCCCATGGGCTGTGGGTTGCCACATGAGAAGGCGCCCATCCGCCCATGGGCTGTGGGTTGGCTCATGAGAAGGTGCCCATCCGCCCATGGGCTGTGGGTTGGCTCATGAGAAGGTGCCCATCCGCCCATGGGCTGTGGGTTGGCTCATGAGAAGGTGCCCATCCGCCCATGGGCTGTGGGTTGGCTCATGAGAAGGCGCCCATCCGCCCATGGGCTGTGGGTTGGCACATGAGAAGGCGCCCATCCGCCCATGGGCTGTGGGTTGCCACATGAGAAGGCGCCCATCCGCCCATGGGCTGTGGGTTGGCTCATGAGAAGGTGCCCATCCGCCCATGGGCTGTGGGTTGGCTCATGAGAAGGTGCCCATCCGCCCATGGGCTGTGGGTTGGCTCATGAGAAGGTGCCCATCCGCCCATGGGCTGTGGGTTGGCTCATGAGAAGGCGCCCATCCGCCCATGGGCTGTGGGTTGGCTCATGAGAAGGCGCCCATCCGCCCATGGGCTGTGGGCTGGCTCATGAGAAGGTGCCCATCCGCCCATGGGCTGTGGGTTGGCTCATGAGAAGGTGCCCATCCGCCCATGGGCTGTGGGCTGGCTCATGAGAAGGTGCCCATCCGCCCATGGGCTGTGGGTTGGCTCATGAGAAGGTGCCCATCCGCCCATGGGCTGTGGGTTGGCTCATGAGAAGGTGCCCATCCGCCCATGGGCTGTGGGTTGGCTCATGAGAAGGTGCCCATCCGCCCATGGGCTGTGGGTTGGCTCATGAGAAGGTGCCCATCCGCCCATGGGCTGTGGGTTGGCTCATGAGAAGGTGCCCATCCGCCCATGGGCTGTGGGTTGGCTCATGAGAAGGTGCCCATCCGCCCATGGGCTGTGGGTTGGCTCACTGTTTTGTGGGTTTGAGTGCAGTGTGCATGTTGTCCAACCTCATACCTCATGACCCACCCTTCATTGTACAGAAAGCGCTTCGGATTCAGGAGGAGGTGATTGCTGCACTCATTGTGTATTCGGACGTAACACAACTGAGTAAGAATGACACACAGAAGGCGTGGCCGGTCGTCTTGTCTCTCGGGAACATCGCGGTTGAACATCGTTGGAAAAACAGTGCCAAACAAATGGTTGCAATGCTGCCACTGCCTAATTCTTTGTGGAAAAGCAATGTCAAGACGGAGCTGTTCTTGAGATGCATGCAGATTGTCCTTCAGCCCCTCATCGATGCCAGCAACAGGTTTGTCCTTATCAATCACTCTCTGGAAATTTTTTGTTTTGTTTTGTTTTTTTTAGGGTTTGCGGAATAATGAATGTTTTTGCTCCTTGCAGTGACATCAGTTGTGTGTGGTCTGACCCCTCAGGGGTCAAGCGCCTTGTGAGGCCATTGTTCTATAGTTATCCATGCGACTACCCGGAAAGCTGCAAGGTGACAAGCACTTTCCAGCACGGCAGCAACCGACCCTGCTCTATGTGTTACGCGTTGAAAGATGAGTGTGACAACATGACCAAGAGGTTTAGGCCGCGGAATCCAAAGGAGCAAAGGTTTTTGAGGGATAAATACAACATGTTGTATCAAACGGGGAAGACTATGGCGAAGGATTACGCATCTCTTTGGGCCACGTTTCCATTCCATGTACGTAAATTGCATTTTACATTTGTTACTCTGAAACTTTTGTTCCCCCTTGCCTTTCGACTAGCTCACAATTCCTCCCACTTATCCGTGCAGACCTTCATTTGGGATTTCAAGTATGCTGACAAACCATGGGGAAACCCATACCTTGCGCTCATGCCAGACGTCCTACACCAGGCGGACGTTGGGGTGTGGACACACATTCGTGACGCCATAGCCACGCTTGACAACGCAAAGAATGGCATGCTAGACGAGTAAGTGCTTCCCTAGCCTTGCCTTGAATCTGCCCTCGGAATCATATCTCCCCTTGCCTTGCCTTGAATCTGTCCTCAGTATCCTATCTCCCTTGCCTTGCCTTGAATCTGCCCTCATATCGCAAATATTCCCAGCCATTGCATTCATGCCTTACTCTAGTGCAACCCACCCTCCCAAGCCGCCAAACCTCCCTTGCGACCCTGTTTGTCTTTTCGCCTCCGCCTTGCTGCCATACAACCACATACAGGAGGATGAAGTGGCTATGGAAGCATGGGCGGATAGCCGGCCTTAATCTGCCCGTTCCAGGAACATATTTCCAATCTGGAGCTCGCGTCTCTGCTGCTGAACACCGTGCTGTGATGCAAGTGGCGATCTTCATTTTGGAAGGGCTTGTTGATAAAGTGCATCTTGATGCGGTGCAGGCATTCTTGCGTTGGTACAAGGCCACCTTTCGCCCGCGCTATCACACTGATGAAAGCCTCGCCAATGTGGACCGCCTTGCGCAAAGGTGGGGCTTTGATTTCCCCGTTTGCTCACCACCATGTTCGTACGAGCTGCCCTTGTCACCATGTGCTGCCCTTGTCACCATGTGCTGCCCTTGTCACCATGTGCTGCCCTTGTCACCATGTGCTGCCCTTGTCACCATGTGCTGCCCTTGTCACCATGTGCTGTCACCATGTGCTGCCCTTGTCACCATGTGCTGCCCTTGTCACCATGTGCTGCCTTTATCACCATGTGCTGCCCTTTTCACCGTGTGCTGCCCATGTTTGCGTGTGCTGCCCATGTTTGCGTTTGCTGCCCATGTTATAACTTCATTCCATCCTTCCTCCCCCCACCACTGCCCCAGTATGATAACAAAAGTGAAAGAGGCATTTCCTACCCAGGCCTCACTCTGGAAGGTTGTGAAAGTGCACATGGTGGTGCACTACTCTGATGCGATTCGGCGAGGGGGGTTGCCAGAGGAGTATTCAACGAATATGTACGAACATTTTCACAAAGTCACTGTAAAAAGACCGTACCGTGCATCCAACCGTCGCCAATGGACCGAGTCGATTATAAAAAGCAATCAATTCCTATCAATGCTAGCACAGGTGGAAAGTGAGATTCACGAGGAGCGTGACTACAATTGTGCATTCTACGAGGTGAGCATTTGATACTTCTTACGTCACAAACGTGTTTTTTTCTTCTTAGTCTTTCTAATCATCCTTGCATAGTAAACGGTCTGAATGTTGCCAATGCTCTTTTCTCTTGCATTCAGGCTGACACCACTGGGAAACGGGTTTTTTTGAGGAGCCATGTGGTCATGCACATGGCTGGAAGCACGTACCGCCAGAGCAGCACTGACCAGTTTGCACTGTACAACACAGCACTGGGAGGCCGCCTGGGTACCCTGCAGGAGCACCTCAAGAATGCCGGCATCACGTCCCCCACCCTCCACGTAAGATGCTTACATCTTCTCCCAAATCCCTCCCCTCACACTCCACTCTCCTCTCTGGCCTGCCACCTTCACTCTCAACCCCCATCCCTCCCCGCACACTCCCCTCTCCTCTCTGGCCTGCCACCTTCACTCTCATCCCCCATCCCTCCCCTCCCAGTCCCCTCTCCTCTTTGGCCTGCCACCTTCACTCTCATCCCCCATCCCTCCCCTCACACTCCCCTCTCCTCTCCGGCCTGCCACCTCCACTCTCATCCCCCATCCCTCCCCTCACACTCCACTCTCCTCTCTGGCCTGCCACCTTCACTCTCATCCCCCATCCCTCCCCTCACACTTCCCTCTCCTCTCTGGCCTGCCACCTTCACTCTCATCCCCCATCCCTCCCCTCACACTCCCCTCTCCTCTCTGGCCTGCCACCTTCACTCTCATCCCCCATCCCTCCCCTCACACTCCCCTCTCCTCTTTGGCCTGCCACCTTCACTCTCATCCCCCATCCCTCCCCGCACACTCCCCTCTCCTCTCTGGCCTGCCACCTTCACTCTCATCCCCCATCCCTCCCCGCACACTCCCCTCTCCTCTCTGGCCTGCCACCTTCACTCTCATCCCCCATCCCTCCCCTCACACTCCCCTCTCCTCTCTGGCCTGCCACCTTCACTCTCATCCCCCATCCCTCCCCTCACACTCCCCTCTCCTCTCTGGCCTGCCACCTACTCTCATCCCCCATCCCTCCCCTCACACTCCACTCTCCTCTCTGGCCTGCCACTTCACTCTCATCCCCCGTACCTCCCCTCACACTCCCCTCTCCTCTCTGGCTTGTCACCATCACACCCATCTCCCCCTCCCGTCCCCCACACTTCGCACTCTGTTCTGGCCCCACCACCTATAATTGCCTGCAGATCTACACTGGCGTGGCCATTCCCGCCGGCTCTCAGGAGTACCACTCCAGGGTCACACATTTTGTTCGTGCAAACCCATCACACCACGGTGATCCGTGGTTCTCCCATGTGGCCATCAGTGGGGGGGAAGAGGTATGGTACGCAGAGGTGCTGCTCCTCTTTAAGCATGCACAAAGCGACAAGGGGTTTGCCTACGTTCAGTACTATGAGGTGGTTGGTAACGATGATGCGACAGGTTGCAAGCGCCTAGAGTGGGCCAAGTACCCACGCACTCGAAGCTTGTACAGGGATGTCGTGGAAGTGGACTCAGTGTTCCGTGCTGTCCACATTGTCGAGTCATTTAAGCGTCCCGGCACCTTCTTCCTTAATGATTATTTGTTTGAGTAGATGCACGTGTGCCATGAAATGTTGCCGGAAACAACTGTTAAGTGTGTTCTTTTTACTACAACAGGCTCTCAATCACTTGACTATGTCACAGAAGACCTAAATGATACAAATTTCAAAAGTTCAATTCATAAAATATATAATTATATAAGTTTCGGAACTTGAAAATATATCTCAAATGCGATGTATACGGTTGGGTGGGTTTTTACCCACTAAACGCGACAACGAGTCGGACTACTGTTCGTCGAACGGAAAAAACACTACCGAAACAGGGTTCCTGATTTTTGCGATGCCTGTTCGGCCATACTCCACAGCTCCCGTGCATTTGGTTTCCCATGGTGTTTCTTCCCACGTCAGGATAAAACTAATCCTAGCCCGCATCAGCTCTTATCATCAGGATAATTTGGCTTTTCGGCGTGACAGCTACTAGCCAGCTCACCCGTGAACCCTTAGCCTTACGAGTTGCAATGGCTGAAGATAAAATGCCTACACCTCAGAGCACGAAATTCCCGCCAGTTCTCTTGCAACACTCGGTTATTCTCAGGTCCAGAAGCAACAGCGTTTTTACATCATTAGACCCTCAGAACGCTGACCTTTCTCCTGCAACACCTGCCGGACATGCTCCAGCCTACGTTTCTTGAAGCAGTGGTCAAAGATCGAGCCGTTGATTCAACGTCGCGCTCTCGCGATCAGCCTGAGTCCGGCTTGCAGGAATCGTGGGAAGGAGTTAAGGCTCAGAATGGCGACCCGGCGCTTCCATATCCGCGTCGCGTAGCACCGCCGTCTAAGAGTCCACGCGATTCGGCGTCACTGAATGATCTCAGCTCCCCCCGATCAAGGATTCCTAAATCGCCACATCGACGGACGGTCTCTCAGCAACTTCCTATTCCTGAAGACGTTCGTAAACCATCACGTCGGACTGTCTCTCAGCAACTTACCTTTCCTGAAGACGTTCCTAAGTCACCACGTCGCACGGTCTCAAAGGTAATCACCTTTCGTGAAGACGTTCCTAAGTGTAACAAGTGGGGGCTGCACTAGAGGCAGCGTGAAGCGCACGGGAGGCGAAAGAATGCAGCAGCAGCGTGCAACTGCGAACGTGGGCAGCAAAGGGACGGAAGTGAGCAGGACGTGGGGGACCCACGTGAGAAGGGCGAAACTGAGGTTTCGTGCCTTGACTGACTTGGGGGGACTTCCGCGCGGGACAGGTGGCGAAAGTCCAGACTTGGAGAAATAGAAATGTAACACGTGTGTGGGTGCAGTGAGGTGTACAAACGTGAGTAGAAATATGGAATGCGGCTCGATGTTGGGGCTGGCCACCCGAATCGACATTCCGAGCCGCATGTCTGAATTGTAAATGTACTGTACATATAAAAATGCATCTGTAGGAATTAGAGAGTAGTTGCTGTTTCTCTTTCTGTTTGTTCTTCCTTGCTTCTAAGGAAATTCTCTTGGGAAGAATTCTCAGCCAGAAACAACTTGAACAAGCCCAAGTGCCGTGAGCTTGTTCCACTAAGTCACCACCTCGCACGGTCTCGCAGCAACTTACCTTTCATGAAGACGTTCCTAAGCCACCACGTCGCACGGTCTCTCAGCAACTTACCTTTTCTGAAGGCGTTTCTAAACCACCACGTCGCACTGTTTCTCAGCAACTTACCTTTCCTGAAGACGTTCCTAAATCACCACGTCGGACGGCCTCTCAGCAACTTGCCTTTCCTGAAGACGTTCCTAAATCGCCACGTCGGACGGTCTCTCAGCAACTCATCTTTCCTGATGGCGTCACTAAATCGCCACGTCGGACGGCCTCTCAGCAACTTACCTTTTCTGATGACGATCCTAAACCACCACGTCGGACGGTCTCTCAGCAACTTGCCTTTCCTGATTACATTCCTAAATCAACACCGCGTCGCACGGTCTCTCAGCAACTTACCTTTCCGAATGACGGTCCTAAATCACCACACACAGGCCTTTCGCGCACGCCGCACGGCGGCGCGCGCAAAACCCCCCCGCGCAGCCCTTCCGCGCGAGCTCGGCAAGCAAGCGCGGATGCGATAGACTTGAAGGGACGCTTGTCGAGTGAGGGAATTGCGACGGGGAAGAGTGACGGGAGAGTGAAGGAGGAACAGAAGGAGTGGGAGGAAGGGCTTACGGTGAAGCAGCAGGACAGCCGCAGCAGCAGCAGGAGAAGAAAGAGGGGGAGGAGGAGGAGGGGATAGAGGAAGGACGGCAGGGCGAGAGTAAGAATCAGCAGCAGCGAAGGCTGAGGGCAGCAGTATCGAATCTTGCACGATCGCCGCTGACTCCTAGCGGTGCTGATAGGCCTTTTGAGGCGCTTCAGAAATCAAATCTTGGACGATCGCCCCTGTCCCGTAGCGGGGCTGATAGTCCGCTCTGGTCTCCTCAGCTGAAGGATCGCTCCCGCGTGCGAAAGGGGTCAACCAACAGAAGCATGGACGCGATTGCACTCCTACCTTTCACTCTCCGTCCTGCTGACGTGTCACGGCCACACATTGAAGCTGATAGACCTGATACGGCTGAGAGGCCTAATAAGGATCGCTCTCGCATGCGAAAGGGGTCAACCAACAGAAGCATGGACGCCATTGCACTCCCGCCCTTCACTCTCCCTCCTGCTGCCGACACGTCACCGTTACACAATGGGGCTGAGTGGCCTGATAAGGATCGCATGCGAGTGCGGTCAACCAACAGAAGCATGGACTCCATTCCCTTCCTTGCTGATGCGCTGCCGTTACACAGTGGAGCTGAATAGCCTGATAGGCTTGATAGGCCTGAACAGCTTGATGGGCCGCTCTGGTCTTCTCAGTTGCAGGATCGCTCCCGCATGCGAATGCGGTCAACCAACCGAAGCATGGACGCCATAGCACTCCCCCTCTTCACTCCCCCCCCTGCTTACGCGTCACAGTTACGCAGTGAAGCTGATAACCCTGATAGGGCTGATATCCCTGATAGGCCTGATAAGCCTGATAAGCCTGATAGGCCTGATGATAGGCCTGATGATAAGCCTGATGATAAGCCTGATGATAAGCCTGATGATAAGCCTGATGATAAGCCTGATGATAAGCCTAATAGGCCTGAACAGCCTGATAAGCCCCTCTGGTCTCCATCTCAGTTGAGGCACCTCTCCCGCATGCGAAGGAGGGCATATAACAGAAGCATGGACACCATGGCATTCTCGCCCGTCGATCCCTCTCCTGCTAACGCGAGTCCCACACTGGCTGTCTCCCCTCAACCTCTTTCTCATCTGCCTGTTTCCCCCCGTCCCGCCGTTGTCAGAATGAGAAACGAGAATGATGAGTGACTAGCAGGAACAACAGTACAAATATGTCAAACCCTAATCTGGTGTACCCCTTATGGTGTGACCCACTACAGCCTAGAACCACACAAACATATAAATGTTTGACACACCCCCATAGGCAAAGTGGGGGAGACCTAGTGGTCACAAGACCAGTCAAGGCAAAACAAGGCAAACAAGCTCAGGGTGGATCTCGAGGATTCCACACAAATTCCGAGCACAAGCAAGCGGTCACAAGACCAGTTCACATGCAGTTTTATAATAGAGCAAGAGGTACAATGATCACAACCTAACAAGGCAAACATGCAGGTATATATATTATGATCACAGTACAAGTAAAGTCAGGAAGTAAGTAAGTAAGAAACAGTCGGCACAAGGCCTAGAAGAGTGCAAAAACGCTGATGGTCAACAGGCGGAAGCGCCTTGGTGAACACATCAGCAGTGTTGGCCTCAGTGGCCACGTAACGCAGAAGAAGCTGACCACGCTGCTGTAGCTCTCGAGCTAGAAAGTAACGCAGAGCAATGTGCTTCGTCCTGTGCTCCAGTCTGTGCTCCTGGCACAAGGCAATGGTTGCCTTGTTGTCGACGTACAGCACTGGAGGAGAACGAGGCTGCTCTCCAAGGTCAGTCAGCAGGTAGGTGAGCCAGCGAAGCTCCTGGGCAGCCATGGCCGTGGCGTAGATCTCAGCCTCACAGCTGGAGCTGAGAACAGAAGAAGAACGAGTAGAACGCCAAGAGACAGAGCCAGAGCCAAGACTGAAGGTGTAACCCTGAGACGACCGCTGAGTAGCCTGGTCGTCTGCCCAAGAAGCGTCTGAGTGCCCAGTGAGAACAGGCCGGTCTCGCCCTCCAAGCACTAGCCCCATGCCCGACGTACTGCACAAGTAGCGCAACACCCTCTTAGCTGCATCCATGTGCTCCTTCCGGTGACGGCCGGGAGCGACATAGCGTGCTAAGATGCTGAGAGGGTATGCAAGGTCAGGTCGTGTGCAGGTCATCAGGTACATGAGGCAGCCAACAAGCTCTGGGTACGGGCCACTCGACTCTACGGACTCATCCGAAGGCAGAGCTGAGAGCGAGTGTCCCGTAGGCAGAGGAGTGGACTGAGGCGAGGAGTACGTGAACCCGAAGCGCTGAAGGACCTGCTGCACCATGTGTGACTGAGTCAAGGTGATGGTGCGGCGTGCTCTGTCCCGGGTGATCCGCAAGCCAAGATAGCTTGTCAGTTCACCCAGGTCTGTGCACGTGTGTCTCTTCTGCAGCTCGGACTTCACGTGGGCGAGTGCGGCAGTGTCCGCAGTGGCAAAGACCAAGTCGTCGACGTACACGAGGATGTAGAACGGCGGCTGCGAGGTGTCGGTGCGCAGAAACAGCGACGGGTCAGCAGTAGAAGGAGCAAACCCAAGAGCCGCAAGTGTAGTCCTCAGTGTGTCGTGCCACTCACGCGGCGCCTGGCGGAGACCGTAGACTGGCCGCCGGAGGCTCCACTGGGTGCCAGGAGGGAACGACCCAGTGAAGCCAGGTGGGCGGCGCAGCCAGATCTCCTCGTGCAGGCTGCCCTGCAAGAAAGCTGTGCTGAAGTCTAGAGAGTGGAGCTCGTAGTCACGCTGAGCGGCGACGTGTAGCAGAACCCGAAGAGTGGTCATCTTCGGGGTCGGGGAGAAGGTCTGGAAGAAGTCAACTCCCTCTCGCTGAC